CACTCTCCATAGTGTATAGTAGGTAAACGGGAGACATACCAGAAATGTGGAAGACGGCTAATGTAGTCCCAATATACAAAAAGGGTGACAGACAAGAGGCACTGAACTACAGGTTAGTGTCCTTAACTTGTATACCATGCAAGGTGATGGAGAAGATTGTGAGAAAAAACTAGTAACACATCTGGAGAGACGAGACTTCGTGACAACCCTTCAACATGGGTTCAGGGAGGGTAAATCTTGCCTTACAGGCTTAATAGAATTCTACGATCAGGTGACAAAGATAAAGCAAGAAAGAGAAGGATGGGCGGACTGCATTTTTTGGACTGTCAGAAAGCATTTGACACATTACCCCATAAAAGGCTGATGCATAAGCTGGAGAAACAGGCAGGAGTAACTGGTAGGGCACTCCAGTGGATAAGGGAGTACCTCAGCAATAGGAAGCAGAGAGTTACAGTGATGGGTGAAGCCTCAGATTGGCGTGAAGTCACCAGTGGAGTCCCTCAGGGTTCTGTACTCGGACCTATCCTGTTTCTGATATACGTAAATGATCTCCCAGAGGGTATAGACTTATTCCTCTCAATGTTTGCTGACGACGCCAAAATTATGAGAAGGATTAAGACAGAGGAGGACAGCTTGAGGCTTCAAGAAGACCTGGACTACAGATACCTTGGTGTCCCCATTAACGACCCTGGGTACCTTTCTTCTCTCAAGAGGAGACTGTGGGAGAGATTAAAGCCCTTGCGGGTCCTTGTTGTGTCAATCATGGAATTAACGTGAGACTTGCTAGAATGTTTTATGTATCATTTATACGCTCTGTGATTGACTACAATGCTCTACATCTCACACTGTATACTGACAAAGAGCTAAAATCTCTTGAAACCTTGCAAAATGAAGCTATGCATCTCATCCTTGGGGATACATCCTTTGGGGAGCCGGTCGGCCGAGCAGACAGCACAGTAAACTTGTGATCCTGTGGTCCCGGGTTCGATCCTGGGCGCCGGCGAGAAACAATGGGCAGAGTTTCTTTCACCCTATGCCCCTGTTACCTAGCAGTAAAATAGGTACCTGGGTGTTAGTCAGCTGTCACGGGCTGCTTCCTGGAGGTGGAGGCTTGCTGCCTGGTTGGCTGCCACCTCTCCTAGCACCGTGACTTCTCCCTGTTCTATTGTAAAGACCTCCTGGAACCTTTTGTTGAGTTCTTCACACACCTCTTTGTCATTCTCTGTGTACCTGACCTCACCCGTCCTAAGTTTCATCACCTGTTCCTTCACTGTTGCCTTCCTCCTGATGTGACTGTGTAGTAGCTTTGGTTCGGTCTTGGCTTTATTAGCTATATCATTTTCATACCTTTTCTCAGCTACTCTTCTCACACTAACGTACTCGTTCCTGGTTCTCTGGTATCTCTCTCTGTACTTTCTGGTGTTCTGTTATTACGAAGTTTCTCCATGCCCTTTTGTTCAGCTCCTTTGCTTTCATACATTCCCTATTAAACCACGGATTCTTCTTTTGCTTCTCTGTTTTTTCCAGTCGGGCTGGGACAAACCTGCTTACAGCCTCCGGACACTTTTGGGTGACATAGTCCATCATGTTTTGTATGGGCTTGGTTCTGAGTTCTCGGGTACTAGTCTGGTGGCAAATCTTTGAACCTTTTCCAGTTTAGTTTTATGCTTGACTAGATATGGACTCCATGCTGGAGCCGCATACTCCAGGATTGGTCTGACATATGTGGTATATAATGTTCTCAAAGATTCCTTACACAAGTTTCTAAAGGCCATTCTTATGTTAGCCAACCTGGCATATGCTGCTGATGTTATCCTCTTGATATGAGCTTCAGGGGACAGGTCTGGCATGATATAAACCCCCAGGTCTTTCTCTCTCTCTGACTCTTGAAGTATCTCATCTCCCAAATGATACCTTGTATCTGGTCTGCTTCCTACCCCTATCTTCATTACATTACATTTACTTGGGTTAAACTCTAACAGCCATTTGTTCGACCATTCTTGCAGCTTGTCCAGGTCTTCTTGAAGCCTCAAGCTGTCCTCCTCTGTCTTAATCCTTCTCATAATTTTGGTGTCGTCAGCAAACATTGAGAGAAATGAGTCTATACCCTCTGGGAGATCATTTATGTATATCAGAAACAGGATAGGTCCAAGCACAGAGCCCTGTGGGACTCCACTGGTGACTTCACGCCATTCTGAGGTCTCACCCCCTCACTGTAACTCTCTGCTTCCTATTGCTTAGGTACTCCCTTATCCACTGGAGCGCCCTACCAGTTACTCCTGCCTGTTTCTCCAGCTTATGCATCAACCTTTTATGGGGTACTGTGTCAAAGGCTTTCTGACAGTCCAAAAAAATGCAGTTCGCCCATCCTTCTCTTTCTTGCTTTATCTTTTTCACCTGATCGTAGAATTCTATCAAGCCTGTAAGGCAAGATTTACCCTCCCTGAACCCATGTTGATGGATTGTCACGAAGTCTCTTCTCTCCAGATGTGTTACTAGGTTTTTTCTCACAATCTTCTCCATCACCTTTATGGTTAAGGACACTGGCCTGTAGTTCAGTGCCTCTTGTCTGTCACCCTTTTTTGTATATTGGTACTACATTAGCAGTCTTCCATATTTCTGGTAGGTCTCCCGTTTCCAGTGACCTACTATACACTATGGAGAGTGGCAAGCAAAGTGCTCCTGCACACTCATTCAATACCTATGGTGAGATTCCGTCCGGCCCAACAGCTTTTCTCACATCCAGCTCCAATAGGTGCTTCTTTACCTCATCTCTTGTAATTTCGAACCTTTCCAAGGTCACCTGGTTTGCTGCCACCTCTCCTAGCACCGTGACTTCTCCCTGTTCTATTGTAAAGACCTCCTGGAACCTTTTGTTGAGTCCTTCACACACCTCTTTGTCATTCTCTGTGTGCCTGTCCTCGCCCACCCTAAGTTTCATCACCTGTTCCTTCACTGTTGTCTTCCTCCTGATGTGACTGTGTAGTAGCTTTGGTTCGGTCTTGGCTTTATTAGCTATATCATTATACACACACACATATCATATATCAACACACACGTGTGTGTGTGTGTGTGTGTGTGTGTGTGTATGTGTAATTACCTAAGTGTAGTTACAGGATGAGAGCTACGCTCGTGGTGTCCCGTCTTCCCAGCACTCTTTGTCATATAACGCTTTGAAACTACTGACGGTCTTGGCCTCCACCACCACCTCACTTAACTTGTTCCAACCGTCTACCACTCTATTTGTGAAAGTGAATTTTCTTATATTTCTTCGGCATCTGTGTTTAGCTAGTTTAAATCTATGACCTCTTGTTCTTGAAGTGCCAGGTCTCAGGAAATCTTCCCTGTCGATTTTATCAATTCCTGTTACTATTTTGTATGTAGTGATCATATCACCTCTTTTTCTTCTGTCTTCTAGTTTTTGCATATTTAATGCTTCTAACCTCTCCTCGTAGCTCTTACCCTTCAGTTCTGGGAGCCACTTAGTAGCATGTCTTTGCACCTTTTCCAGTTTGTTGATGTGCTTCTTAAGATATGGGCACCACACAACAGCTGCATATTCTAGCTTTGGCCTAACACAAATCAACAATCAATGTCAACAAATCTTTTTTGACAAGTTGTATATGAAAAGGGCTGCAATTGTCCACATTCCATAACAAGGTTATCTTATAGAGGTTATCTTGAGATGATTTCTTGAGATGGGGCTTAGCGTTTCCACGGCCCGGTCCTCGACCTTTTTGTTACACACACCCCAGGAAGCAGCCCGTAGCAGCTGTAACTCCCAGGTACCTATTTACTGCTAGGTAACAGGGGCATCAGGGTGAAACATTTTTGCCCATTTGTCTCTGCCTCCAACGGGGATCGAACCCGGAACCTCAGGACTACGAATCCGAAGCTCTGTCTATCCAGCTGTCAGGCGCCATATATAATGTGTATGTATATGTATGCCATGTATAAATGCCATAACATGGCATTTATTTACGTTAAATTTCATTTGCCAAGTGGTGCTCCATATACTTATTTTGTCCAGGTCCTCTGGAAGGGCATGGCAATCATCTAAGTTACTTATCCTTCCTATTAGCATCATCAGCAAATAAGTTCATATAATTCTGTATTCCATCTGGTAGATCATTTAGGTAGACAATGAACATCACCGGTGCAAGAACTGAAGCAGCGTGGCCTAGTCGGAGAGAGCATGTTCTTAGTCCGGATAGACCTGCGTTCGAGCCTGTCGGAACTGTTGCTACTACAGGGCACAGATTTCTGTGTCCTCTCCTGTAGCAGCATCAGTTTCGATAGAGTTTCGGGATAGCCGAAGATTGACTGACCTGATTGATTTTGTGAGTGTGCGTGCGCGCGCGGCGGCGGCTGTAGGCCGGGGGCGCGCGGCGGCGGCTGTAGGCCGGGGGCGCGCGGCGGCTGTAGGCCGGGGGCGCGCGGTGGCTAAAGGCTGGGGGTGCGTGGGGACTGACGGGTAATTTGAACGTCAAAATATGAAGACACACATTTTGTGCGTGTAATTTGCCGTTATAAAACAAAGAGCGTGTCGAATGACACTTCATGACATTAAGGGTCATGGGACACTTCATGACATTAAGGGTCATGGGACACTTCATACCTTGCTACGCACTCACGCATTTACCCCACATTCAGACTCAAAACAAAATAAAAATAAAAAAGTATTCGTTTTTCTAAAGCTGACCTAGATTAATTGGATATGTTTATGGTATCTCTTAATAGCATTAATTCGTTTAGTTCAAGCATACTATGTAGTCTTTTCTAAGGTAGAGCTAGCAGCACCTTAACACCTCTCACGCCTGTCATCTGATGCTGGGACCCTCACCACACCTAAACCATCACCACCACACATGCAAATATTAAACAAGTTGCTGTAGTCTTTAGGATTTTGTCTCTTTAATATTCCACCCGTGAATTTCGTTAACCGTGCACACATTTTTTTAATATCCAAGAGTTAAACCGAACTTCATTAGTGTACTTACGCATATTTTGAGCATTGAGTTGGCTCTGCTTTGTGGGAATCGCGATGATTTGGCCACTAGGCAGCTTGCTTGTCTGCAACACAGCCTGACCCTGTGAGGAGACAAATATTAACACTATGATAATAATCACAATACAATCAACTTTTTGTCTAAGCTGGTGGAATTATTTTGCAACAATCTGATCTTCCTGGAATATCATAACATACAGGATGATCTACTGAGCAAACCAATCCGGTCAGCTCGGGATATGGTTAAATTTTAGATCATTGCACCTACACATTTTCCATTAGAGGAATGTTAACATTTGAAGCCGAGATGTTTGGGTACCTTTATGATCTGCACAAGTGTGTGTTCTGTATTATAATTACTTGCTTTCACTTGCTTGTTAATAATGTTTAGGTTGGAAAGCCAACTGCTGTGCCTTAATCCTACTGTCACTCAGAGCAATATTTACTAGTGAAGTATATTAGATACATTCATTAAACAAAAGCAGAAGAGTAGAGACAAACTGCAGAAAACCTATTGGCTCATGCGAGACAATTCCCCACGCTTGACCCCAATCACTTGGGCTGGACGGTAGAGACGGTAGAGCGACGGTAGAGCGACGGTCTTGCTTCATGCAGGTCGGTGTACAATCCCCGACCATCCAATTGGTTGGGCACCATTCCTCCCCGTCCCACCCCAAATACTTATCCTGACCCCTTCCCAGTGATATATAGTCATAATGGCTTGTCGCTTTCCCCTGACAATTCCCTTCCCTTCCCCACTCTTGAAACAATCCATGTATCCCATGTCTTATGTTGCCTAGTTATTTGTTATATACATCTATTACGCTCTTCACAAAGCAGTAGAGCGCAGTATTTACCAGCTTGTTCAGAGTCGTGTGGGAGTATCAACCACAACTGTACTCAATTCCAAAGACAGAACAAGCTAGGATCAGAAGCAAGGCACATCAAATAATTGATGACGGATAGTTATGTAGCAATGTGTGATAGTCAGAACACACATTACAGTCCCAATACCTGCTTGAGGGGGTATACTATAATGAATTTTTAACCATAATTTTACCTGGTTAACACTTGACGGGGAGGCCGGAAGAGCTGTGGCTGGATCATCTCTGTCTAATACTTAACGTTGCCAGACATGGCACTATCAAATTCTGAATTAATGGTTTATTGGGAGTGATATTTCCCACCACGCCCCAAGAGTCACCCAACACTTGGAGTGATCCATTAAGCATAAAGTTAACATCTATCTTTGTTAACATATAAGAGGCCCTCATTGCTGATATTGGCGCCTGACAATTCCACCATAATTTCAGTATGATTTAACTTCGTATTATTTTTACAGTGGATAAATATTTACACACAGGAAACATTTATTTTAATATAATACAAACCTTAATTATATGCATGTTTGAGTGGACAATATAGGAGGCAAGGCAGGAGAAGCGGCCCTCAGCCTGCTAGAGGCAGCTCAAGCTGTCACTTCACCAACGCTCAGTTTTCCCGCGCTTTTCCCAGTCAGGCAGAAGCCTGACTGGGAAAAGGAACACCGGAACAACCACGATTAGCTTACAATAAACTCCAGGTTTTGAACTTGACTCCGTTTCGTTTAATTAGAACATAAAACAAAAATAGTTAAAAAAAAAACGCCTAATAGGAATTACCATAAACCATAAACTGAGAAACACTACTACACAACCAGATGATACACCCCCCCCCCCCACACCGACCCTCCCTCGCCTCCACCGCCCACGGTGGCTCTTTAAATTCTTGAGGAGTTATATATACTGAACAAGAGTTGTATATAAATGTTAAATAATAATTGCGTCGTCTTTTTCTTCGAAAATTTAGCATTACAAGCAAATATTACTCGCTTTACACCACATCGCTGTTTTTAAATCCCACCAAATTACTAACACTAGCACATCATCTGTTCAACCCAACCCCGATACTGCCACCTAAGCCCCGATAATGTGGTCTGAATTCCTTGGGTTGTAGGGATGAAAATAAGACCGACATGTATAGAGAAACGCTATAAAAGCCAGAATTGTCCGTCCATCTACAAGAGACCTTCGAAGGACGAAATTCCACACAGTGTGCAGGTCGCAAGTAAACAAACGTAATGCTTACAACCAGCCACAAGCACACAAGAGGACGCCCTCACCGCCAGAAACACACACATTCACATAACTGGTGGAGGCTTATCTGCATCATCTGTGTTATCTAGCAACACGGCCAACTGTTGACGCGATCGTGCTACTACAAACCAATGCAAATAAAAGAGCCATTATGAAAGGGAAGGTATAAATGGTGCATAATTAAAAGACTGGAGAGACTACTTTCTTCCACTGCAAAGATAGCCATTTTCTCGTCACCGCACCTCGCATTTTGACGTATACTTTACTCAAGGGCTAAAGGTAAGGTACACGGTAAGGTTTAGCCCCAAGGGCTATAGGTAAGGCTTTGTTCATTTAAAGGTTAGATAATTAGCAGGAGAAAGCGCTAAGCCACTAAGAATAAAATAGCACTTGGAAAAAATGAGGATAAGGCTTAGGGATGAGACGGGGGAAGGAATGGAAGTGGAAGGTCTGGGATTGAATGCCGACCTGCAAGAAGCCAGACCGTCACTCTACCGTTCAGACAACCCGTCCTCTTACAAATTAGCCGCTTTTCGCTCGTATGTGCTACGGCGAAAATATCAACGTAATTCAAAATGAAAATTTATTTTCGAAATAAATTGTGAATTTTTTTTTCCAAAAGAGCAAGTTAAGAGTCCTCTGGTTTGTTAGGAGGGCAGAAGTTCCCCTAAGGTTTCAAAGTCATGAAAACCGTTAGTCGAAAGTTTCTCTCCTAACCTAACAGCCAAAGTCAGGAGGACCCCTGGGGGGAAGAAATACCCTAAGCTACTCTATCCCTTTGAGATGTATTTCTTGCTTATCTCAATAAACATACTTGAACTTGAAGGACCCAAAACAGAAAACGGGACAGTACGTCACTTTCGTGAGCTGATTTCATTTTGAATTACGTTAATTTTTAGCCTGAGTGCGCATACGAGCGAAAAGCGACGTAATTTGCGAGAGGACGAGTTGCAGTCCAAGTGGTTGGGGCCTCAGACCAAAGCTGTCGTACAAGAAAATAGTTGCGCCTCGCGAAATTGACAATGTCCCATTTTCTGTTCGTGGGTCCTCTAGTATGTTAGGACACTTTAGTACAACAGTTTCTAGACGTTGGGAAGGCTGGCGTGAACTGGCCGGCTTCTCAGCGGTAGATCGTTACACATTCATTTTCTATACTTCCCCTTCCGGCCAGATGGTCACTTATTAGAATTTCCGTTACGACCCTGCTTTCATAGTGCAGTGCATTTTTATATGAAAAGTGATTGTAATAATTGTATAAAGAACGCTTTGCTACACTATCACACGCGGTGCCGTAACAGACTACGGGTAGTTGTTACCAGGACAATAAAAAGCACAATTACTGGCAAATGTCTCATTAAAATGCCAATCCTTCCTCTTCTGACTTTCGTGTGGTATATTAACGTGTTCAATGCATCAGTGAGGATTCAAAATTTACAATACAAATTTGTATTCCCCAAAATATTGTTACCGTCAACTCGAGCTGCCTATCCCGGATGTCCCGTCTTCATTGGAAATGTCCCGTGACACAATAAATTATTATAACTCCTCTTCCAGCCACATTACGAGACCTGAGTTAGAACTCAAGTACTAACCTTAATAATTCCTGCCCTCATCATCATACGTTTACACAAGTCAAATAAATAACAATCACATGAACTGCTAGCTGCGACAGGCAGCGAGTGGGATCCACACTCGGGCCCCACTAGCCAATCTTTACTTTCACCTTACTTGAAGTTCTGTACTTTCAAAGTACAGAACATCACGCACGCACCTACTAATGTCTGCTTGCGATCCTTCTACCGAATACACAATGTATTTCGCTATCTATGTGTTAAATACTAAATGGTTTGTAAACACTTAGTCTTCTGATGCATTCCCGCCTGCTATTTTAGTGTGAAGTAGTTGCCATCATAGCAGGTTCAGTGAGCTCCAAGCATGATGCATGGGGAAAGGGAGATGACAAAGGGGGCAATGTAGTTAACTTTTGACTCTACAATAGGTCGTCATGCGTTGTTTTATTTACCTTAACTCGTCGACTGCTATTCAGATACTATATGTTTTAAATTTGGCTCAGTGAAGACACAGTGGGATATTTATGATGAAAATTAGTGACCACTGTTACTTATCTACTGTGTGTTTACATCGTGGTTGTTCAAGGCCTCTCGGTTGGTCGGGCCAGTCAGACTGGTTGATCACGTACCCATTTGTTAAAATGCCTCTTTAATGCAATTGGAGGTCTGTTAGTAATTCCAGGTATAATTATGCAGAACATTAAAAAGTCTTGGGCTCTTTCTCATTTATTTCATGAGAAGCTTTGGAACCAGTCCCTTTAATATTTTCCAGATGTAGATTATAATTCATCTCTCGTCTGCGGTCTTGATATTCCTTCCAAGTGCGTACTTAACCCTTTATCCTTGTAAATATCTCGCCCACGTTCCTGGGAGTATACTCCCTTCAAGTTACAACAGCAACGCTGCTCTGTACCAAACTTTATTAATAAAACAAAAATAAATTCAGCGATGAAATATGTCGATACCTCTGACGCCAGTTGAATTTATTAAAATAAATTTATGAAGATGGATAATTTGAAGGTTGTAAAGAGTGTAGCCAGTGTACAAGTGGCGTGGCTGCATACCAGTCCCGGGATGGTCTGCCCTTGCCACAGTAACGCCCACCTTACCCCTTCACTCCTTTTGCCCAGTCTTCCATAGTTAACACTTTCGCGCTTTAGATTAGAGATAACTCGTCGCCGGTTTTTCTTACGATTCCGCATAACAGCCTACTTTTCTCGTCCATCGAAAAAATATTTCTATAAATTCCATTTTTTAACTGAAATGTATGGGGATACTTTTGTTTTGTAGAGAATTTATTTGCGAATTTGTTGGTACCAGAATGAATATTATATCCCATAAACTTCTATTAGTAAAAAAAAATACACAAAGTATGTT